GAAGGGAAAACAAGGTGTGCATATGAGTGTAGCATACGATGCATAACAGATGGATGTCCTAGGTGTGTAGTATGAATAACCTAGCTGCTCGGATGCTTCTCAAATCTAACTAGAAAGCTTATTACCTCCCAGGAACTTCATTTTATTTTTGTGTGCCCTCATGTTGAACTTAGTGTAGTTGCTGATGAGACCCTATAAAGAATGATGTCTGCATACGTGCACAGACATCACAGTCATCAGTTTACGGCATTCATGCAGTACTGGGAATAGAACTTATGACCTTCGCCTCCGCAAACACAGCTGCTCCACTGGCTGTGGGCTTTGTAGCCAGCAGAGGGAACTGATAAACATTCTCATAGGGCTGCTTTATCTATATTTTTTTCTCACCAAGAGAGGGCATTGATTCCCCCTCACTTTTAAAAAGGATCCATTACATGTCACCCCTCAACAATTTCACCTGTCGTTCAACAGGTCAAGCAACATACTTCTATTCATCTTGCTATTACTACAAAATACGCACTTGCGTGAAGAAGTTTCAATCATCAAAAGATGTCCCTAGGCTACATAGTGGTATTAATCCTCTGCAGTGCAGTTATGAGACATTAAATTCATTATACATCAAGACAATTACGGACACGCATCCAATGTTTCAGGAGTAGGGTAGACCAAACACAATTGTTTACTGATGTGTGTGGAGAATAGGCGCAGTTATTGCACAACACCCCCAAAAGGCTTCAGAGCCAGAACTTGTCATTATCTTTTAAACACAGAGCTCCACAACTTGCGCTGAAGGAGAATTCTTTTGGCACAAAGAATAGATCTCACTTTCTTCTGGAGGGAAAGCCACAGAAAGATAACATCACTTATACAAAACTCTAGCAAATGCAAGTGGCAAAAGTAAGAAGCATCTGTACGGTTAAATACAGGTATTGGGTTAATCAAAGGCAGAACAAGCCACCTCTGTGTTTTTGTCTGTTCTTGTCTTGGGTTCCTCACTACAATAAATCTATTGAACCATTGCTCTTTTGAAAACATGACACTAGTGAAAACAGAAAATTATCTCCTTGAAGAAGGAAGCAACCCACAGCTGAGGATAATTGGAAAGCCAAAACATAAAAAAGTAGAGGGATATATTTAAGCTTCAGACATAAAACTTAATCTTTCCTCCCCTGGGAAAAATAGCAAGACATAGAATTAAATAGGCAGAAAATTCTGCCTTACATGCCTCAAGAACATGTGGAAGTTGTACTCCCTCCTACTGCTGGTAGTAATATGACAATCTCCCTAGTATCTGCCTCTGTACTCTGGAGAATCAGAGTATGACCCTCCACTACTCCACCCACACTTGTGTATACCTCCCATAATAGATGGCCACGATAAATGGCCATCTTATCAACAATCCATTCATTGAGTAAAATTTTGATGTTACCCAAAATTGTTAAATCTTATAATAGGCACAGGAAAGAAAAGAAATGAAACTTCATGTAATTTCAAGGGTACTGTTTTAAAGAATGTAGTCTAGGTCCTGGCAGTCAAGAAAGCTTCTTGTAAAGTTCTACTAGCTTATGCGTCAAGCCTGTTTACGCCTCTTCAACAGAAGACGATACACTGCTACCTGCCCCTTAGTTTATGTATCTATACTTCAGAGGCATTAAGGTTCACAACGTTCCTTAAACAGGTCACCTATTCTCAAAATTAGTCATTCTTTTTCTATCACTCATACTAGTCTTTTAGTTCCCTCTCGTGTGTTCACTATTTGCATTCACTGTACAGACTTTCTGTCTGTAAGTGATGCATGCTTTCACTTCAAGAATGGGAGACAAGGCCTCCAAAGGCTGCTAGGGCAATTACTCCAGAAATCAAGCATCAACGTGTGTAAATTGTTTTTTTGGACAATGTAGTATTTGCAAGGCCACAGGAGCAATTAAAGACTCTCTATCCTCATAAATTAGCTCTAGGGATGAAGTCTAAAGGGATAGGGTAAGGCTGGTAGTGTGTTTTTTTTTTTTTTAAACGGGTATGGAATTGTATCCTATGGGATTATAGAGGTGGCACCTGATAGCAAATGTAGAAAAGGAAAGAGGAAGATATAATGTGTGCCATATAAAAGCCGTATGAATAATATTGCTTAAGTACCATGTGCTTTTCTTTGAGCACCAATTAAAAATTTTGATGTTACCAACCACTACTGAGTTACCAAGCTTGAACTCTTACAATCAGATGTTGAACATCATTTCTCATCCATGGCAGTGGACCTATGTTTTGTCATCCTGCCAAGAGTGGGTTGGTCTTAGTAAATCACGTAGGGTTTCAGAGGGTAAGAAAGGGGGTGGTCATTTGGTTAAAATGTATTTTTTTTCCCCTCCCAAGAACAAGTTGTAAAACCTATTAAAGGGGTTGTAAAGGGTTCAAAGGGACCCAAAGTGTTAGGAGTGAATACCTCTCAAAATTTAACACTAGAATTCTCCCTGCCGTTCCATCCTAAGGAGTCATGTAAAAAGACAGATCAGCTGCAAGGAGGTGGACTCTATAACCGAATTCAAAATTAAGCATGGGATTACAGTGCTGTCCTGGAACCCAAAAGAACTGCATGTTACTCTCTGCTCAGCCATGAACTTCCAGTGTCGCCATGAGCAAGACAGTCCATATATTCAGTAACATTATGGCCAAGAGGAAAACATATCCCTGCCTCACAGAGAGGTGGTGAAAATAAATTCATGAAGATCAATATGTCTCAAAAGCAGTAGTGGTGGTAGTCATACGAATAAATAAGTAGTCAGTGATCTGTTTATCCTGTGTTTCTGTGGATCTAGTATAACATTCTTGACAGCGATGGGAACTATTCTAGTGATTTAAATGGGCATTAGTGCCCTAAATGAACACTGGAAAAACCTAAGTGCAACCACCAGGAGAAATGACTTACCATGCCTGCTTAATAGTTAACTGATCTATGGCTGAAAAATCAATATAGTCTTATGGACTCTGTTTTGTTATTTTAAAACACTATGGTCGTTACCCCCAAAATCTGAATTCTTCTTTTCCCTACTCACTCAATTTTTTTATTGGGGTTGTAGCACTATTTTAAAATGATAGAGTGTTTTTATTTTAATATCAGCACACTTTGATCTCATAAAAAGGAGTTTCAGATCAGCACAGAGGTGAATAAATGCATTCCTGGTCATATAAGTTCTGCTGGAGACTTACAGTGCTGTTTCCCTTCATCCCCTGCTACAAAGTGATGCTCAGCTGAATTCTCTACTCACTCTAAGAGAGAAATTGCTCAGAGGAGATTCTGATCTAAATTAGATGCATTCCTTTGACTAGAATTTTCTTAATATGCCCTGCAATCCATTTTTCAAATGCCAAAACATTACATTTCACAGCAGGCTTCAATAAAAGGTATTTTGTTATATGCACATTTCCTGTGGCAAATGCATTTTTTCTGAGATGCTCTTTCTTGAGAATTGCTCTGTTAGAAATTTTGATTTATCTGAGAGAGTAAAATTCTGTATGAAAAATAAGTCTTCACTGGAGAATTTTAGACCTAAATTTGATATACATTACACTTAAAATCACATGTATGTGTTTTAGAAGAGGGGTCTTTTGGAGATGCAATTGAGCTTTGCTGTAAAAATCAGATGTTAACTAAGGAATAAACTTTTGTAGCTCAGAGATAGAATGCCAGTTATGGCAATTTATATAGATTTTATATAGATTACTTGTTTCAAAACCTGTTTTACTGTAAGCCTGCTGTAGAAAGCATTGTACTTTGTTTTTGAATAGCTACCTTTCTGGGTTTTTTTTTAAGGATACTTATGTAATCTCCCAGTCAAATAGCTGTAGGCGATGCTTTCTTTTTCCCATTAGATAAAACAGATAACATTGAAAGTACAGAAAAGATCTCTTAGATACACTGCGCAGAAAACAACATTGTGTGCAGAGTTCTGGGGTTTTACGGGACTATAGCTTAAAAGTTGCAGCTAATGTGAATAAAGCTATATGTGGACATAATTCTTTTTCAGAAAACACTTTCTATTTGGGGAAAGCACAAAAAAGAGGCAGTTTAAAAAGAGTGTTGTTTGACTATCAAGAAGGAAATATCACTCTAACTGCACAATGCATTACATATAGTACAAACTGACTAGTTACAGTCAGCATTTATTGTTTGTTTTTGGTAGTTTAGGCTTTCCTTCATCTCTGAGCACTGGAGAGAGGCATTCTAGGATTAAGGATTTCTATGATGGAATTTCTTTAAACAGGTGACTGTGTGTTAAAAGTGCACTGACTCACACACATGAGAAACTGGTACTAGTCACTAATGAATTTGTCTCAGTGAGGATGGACAGAAGAACACAGGGGAGTGAAAACACAGTTCTGAAACCACTTATGTTTTAGTATTTCGGCTGTTCGGCAGCTATTTCTTTGAGGCACTTACTATTCATTCCTATAGCATTAGAAATACCTATGTAAGCAAACTGTATATAAAAGCTCAGGCTGATCTAGAAATTTCATAGATACACAAGGCCTGCACTTCAGTCCCAAGATAAGCTCAATCTGGCTTGTAAATAGTAATAGTAAAAAAAAAAAAATCTCAAATTGTCACTAAGCATGTTTTTAAACAGAGCTTAAGGCAGCTTTAAAGTGTACTTTTTGATAACTTTGACTGGACTATTCTTACTGAGATGGAAACTATTAGCAGGGATAATAAAATGTTAAAATTGGTCTGGATATACTGATCTCCTCAAAATCAGTCAGAAAGGGAAAGAAGAGCTTTCTCAGCCACACAGTGTTTCCAGCAAGTTCTGTTTTTATTTCATTGCTAAAACAACAGATTGTTACTAACTTAAATGTCAGATGACACTACATCTGAAAAAAAAGGGGGAAAAAAAAAAGGAAAAAAGCCCTGCCAGCACCACCCAGCAAGGCAGTGCTAGAGCTGACATTAAGACTTCCTCAAAATAACTGGTTAGAACAGAAACCTGAAGTAGCAGTAATCTTACCTTGAGTGTACAAGATCCAAGGAGAGAAGATCACTGGCTCAAAACAGTGGAGGACTGAGAAAGTGCTCTGATCAGCTCCTGGTAGCATGCACTTGGCTTTTATGTGCAGGTGGGAGGAGCTGCTCCCTACGGTAGGTGGGCAGTGAGGAGAGGAGGCAGACAGCCTTCAGAAGGCATTGTACAGTAGGGTTTTGCTCTTTGAGGACAGAGGGAGGGGAAAAAAGCAAGCTGGTGGCATTTACAGGAGAAGTGTCAGCTTTATTTATAAGTCTTTTAATTATTCAGTTAACTAAAGATTTTTTTTAGTGTATTTGTTTCCATAATCTGGTGCATTATTCCAGTTCCAGTTATAATACTACTAGGTCTTGCTTTGTCTTTTGCAAGGATTTTTACAGCAGTAAGACAATAATGCAGAGTAGTTGTCAGAAGGGCTAATTTTTCCGTTCCAAGAAGGAATAGCTATGAAGAAGCAGCCTCTTGATCTTTAAAGGTGTTCGACTGAACCTTTATATTTCAAATGTCAACAAGATCACCACTCTGGAATACTCCTGTTTCTCTTGTGCTGTGCTACCCAGCTTTTCCTTGACACAGCTGTAACATGTTCCATCTACACACTTACTTTTGAGCAGTTCGGTTTAGAGCAGTTTTATTGTTCCCAGAGTCTGAGTTCTAAACAATTTTCCCCACTGGTATTCTCAAAAGGCAGATGTAGCCAAAAAGACAAACCAGTAGGAACACACATTCCTGGTGGTTTCTGTGTTAAGTTATTCATTGTTCATTTTAACCCATTCACTGCTTTTAGAGCACAGAAGAGTGGATGGCACAATGTCTGGCTGCTGGCTCCTCCAGGTGAAACAGCCAGTTGTACCCAGTTGGAATATACTGATTCTGTATCTGCATAAATCCCTGCATGAGTGACCTGGACCTTGACTGGGACGTTTGGGTCTTACCATAATACGCGAGTAAAACCTGTGCTATATTGGAACATTAGTGAATGGAGAAAGCCAGAAAGTTAGAATAGGAAAGAGAGAACAATAGTCTGAAATCAAGGGAGAGGCCAGAGGTGCAGCCTAATTAAGAACTGAGGGGGTCCAGGCAGAAAAATGAATGAGTTATTTTATGCACTGAGCAACACAGAGCTGAGCTGGTGAGGAAAGACAGGAGTAGCACATGTCCCCAGAGAACAGGAGAGAAGGAGAATCTGAATTCACAGAGATGAGATAAGCAAGAAAGTAGTGAAGGTGGTGGAGATCACATATGATACATATGACTTCCTGCACTAATGGGCCAAACTGGCCGCTAGCTGAGGAGATACAGGATGCTTACAGAACCTGGATTACTTCAGTCAATATCTTGCATTTTTCCTCAGTGTTAGCCTCTTGTATTTGTATTTAGAGACCTAAATATATCTGCTATGATCAATGTAAATAAGTCTCTGACATATTTATGGTGGGGAATGCAAGCGAAATCTCAAGATAGATTCAGAGTAACATTCACTTCCATATCTTTCTTCTTCTTTTCTCTTGAATGCAATGAGTTTATTTAAAATAAGGAAGAAGTATTGAGTGACTAAGTGGATCAGGACAAACTGAGTTGCATGCATCTTGTTTTTGTCTTTTTAGTCAGGCAGGGCTTAGAAATCAAGCCCCCATCAACTTGGATATCAGTGTTACATGGCAGAATTAGCTGTATTATATTGGTGATGTAGCCTATGGGTGATCTAGAACCTTCAAGCTGAAAAGGACTGTATAAATTGCTACCATTTATTACAAGTATTGGGTTACTGTTGGCTAACACAATCTCTACCTTGTTGCAACTAATTGTAAACAAGTCATGTTTGTTTTTTTGGTTTTTTTTTGTTTTTTTTTTTTTTAAATTCCAGTAGCACACAATATATTTTTACAGATCTCATTAAGAGATGAGTTCTCTGCTCTGAGGAGATTACAGTGTGATTTTAGGCAGGCTACTCTAAGTAATGATACTTAGTGTGATAAGTTACTGTGATAAGTTTATGTAATTGGTTCAGTTATGGGCACATTGTGGTGGCTCAGTTGATTAGATGATGCTCATAAAGTGGAGTCTACTCAGCTAATGTCTAAACAATCAGATAACTTTATTCTTACAGAAATCTAGGTCAAGACTGAGAAATTAGAGAGTAAATAGGCACCCAAGTTCTTACTTAATGACTAAACTGTTCCTATTGTCTCACAGTTGCCGAGCTTTCTGTAGGTCCCTTTGAAAATCAGTGGATGCTTCTGTAAGCTCAGTACCTTTTAAAGATCAAGATATTTCTTTTCTTGGAAAAACAAAGTTTGAATGAAGAGGAGTAGCTTTAGGTTGAAATTTTTTCTATTTTTTTTTTTAAGTTCTTCAGATGCTAAGTGCCATTTCCTTTCTCAGAAGTGAGTCAGTACTCAAGTGGGCTCCATGTAAATCTTTCATACTCTGTTGATTATTCTGCATTGATCATGTGTTCTGCTGTATTGCAGGTACAAGTGTAGCCTTAGTTTTTTCATACTTCCAGAACACAAGAATTACAGATTTTCTGAAGTTTTTTCCTTCAGGGAATCTTAAAGCACTTTACAAACATTAAATGAAACTACTACCATGTAAGATAGATCAAAAGTATTACACCAACAATGATGATTATTAAAGCATCACCATGATGTAATTATATGGCTGTTTATCTGATGAGACTACAGTGTTAGGCACAGTCCTTGATATTCTAGTCATTGCATTGCTTATCTTCCCTAATGAGATTTTTAGTAGATGAAAACTTTACCAAAAATACCTGTGGGAAATTCACTTCAGGCTGTTACATGATTAACTGAATTTGAGGGCACACACTGACAGGCTGAACAGTAAATACACTATGGACACGTGGCAGGAAGGGTTTTGTTCTTACGCTCAGAAGCAATGTCCAACCTTTCTAAAACTGTCAGTTCCTTTTAAAGATAAAATTATCCTTCCAAGAGTCATTTGAGTGTTCTAGCCCTCTTTCTGTGTTCTTGCCCCCAAAATGTCCACATTGGTTTGCCATGAGTTTCCAAGAATTGTTTGAAGCAGCTTAAGCTTTCAGCACATCCAAAATCTGCAACAGGTACTTGCATTGTTTGATAGTAGGGCTACATCTGAGTGCAGAATAGAATGGCTAATAAGGGAATCAGCCTCATGAAAGTAGCTTAGACTTGGAGAGATCAATTTGCCACACTTTTGGCTCAGCTAAGGACTACTGTATTTAATCTGTGTCAGTGATGCTTCAGAGAGCAAGAAGACCATCTGGCAGAATCTGACTAACCTTTTTATTGAGGCTCCTCATAATGCTTGATACAAAATCTGAAATCCACTACGATTCATTCAGGGACTGAATTTTTCTATGGAGGGCTAGAGTGCCCGGGCACTTTCTTACCGTTCAGCAGTGAGGCTACAACAGGGTTCCCCTAGCCAGCCTTTGTAGATGTTTTATAGCAGAAGTGTTACTATGTAGCGTGCTGGTATACCCAACAGTGTCCATGTGGCATGCAGAGAGTATGAAGCAAGCCACAGCTTGCTAGTGAGGAGAGAAATAGGATGGTAATTGCTACATTTTTACAGTCATGTTAAACATACTTGCTCCTCAGTCTTTCTGTTAAATTAAATTTTGCTCTAGCATACAAACTGTATGGCAAAGAAAAATTATTAACAGAGGTGGCATCATACTTAAAATACAGGTGAAAACTATAGCTGTATAAACGTTGAGGCAATTCACTGTGGATCTTTTAAATGGAGATATACCATAAATTCCTGAATTTATTCCAATAAAGGAACAAGGTGATTATTCACAGTTTGCCCTGAATGTAACTCAGGTGAAATAAATGGGGCTGAATGTGATGGCCGTGAATGCAGAAAGAATTGACCTGAACAATTGGGAGGATAACCCTTCAGGAATTAATGGTGGTTTCTGTAGCATCACAGCAACAGCTTAGGTGGGTGGCTACTTGTTATATAGAGGACAAAGGAGGAGGGTTCCCAAACAGTTAGATGGCATTATGATCGCAGGCGATCGCCCATCAAGATCAAGAGGTCTATATTTTTTAAATACAAACGAAATACAATTAGAGTGACTTTCCAATGTAGAGCAGGATATTACAGGCAATAGTAACCTCATGAGGTAAAAGTTAACTTTTCCAACTTCCTGACATAATTTTAACAACACCATAATTAAAAAAAGAGGAAGACATTTCAGAGTGTTTCATGACTTATAAAAATATTCTGATAGCCTACAGGTGAATTTTTGTTAACCTACACAGCTCTCATGGAAATTGATTCTTTTCGTTTTATTTGACTGTAGGACCGAAGACATTAATGATTTCTCAACTCAGGCAAAAGTGTATTTTAGTAACCTGTGGTTTCAGGTAACATTCCATTTTCTGTTGTGCTTCCTGTCAATGTAAGATCTACCCAAAGTCCTTCCAGCGAATTTGCCATTTGAAGGTTTAAATGCTACAATGTACAATGCTGCCGTTTGTATACAGCATTGTTTTTTAACAGTAAAGATTCACAAACCTAGAGGGGAGAATAACGGAAAAAGGTAAACAGTTCTCAAAGTGCCTGTTCATTTTGTTTCCTCCACATGTCACTGTGTCCTGGAGAGAATCTGTTAGGTGCTGCCTGTTAGGTTTGTATCTGTAGATTAGGGCCAGTCAGATGGTGTGGCTAGAAAACCACTGTATGCCGATCCAAAATAGGATACAAAATCAGCATATGTTTTGGAAGTGCAGATCTTTGTGCTGTAGATAACCATACACCAAGGTCTGAATGTGAGTGTGGAGGAAGCATGTTTAAAAAATATCTGCCTACCTCAAACAACATTTTCTCCTGTATGACCAGATTTATGCTTTAGCATATAACATGGTAGAGGCAGAACTGGAAAAAACTGGAAAGAGTTGATATAGAACACATTGTAGCTGTAACTTATACCATTTTGCATCCATTTTGCCTGTGCTGATCTGTTTAGTATTGTCTCCAGCAATGAAAAAGGAGTGCAGTTCAAAGCTGCTAGTATAGGATCAACCCATCCACATACTGTATTTTTTGTATTGC